TTGAGCGGAACCGGTCCAATCCTGGACCGGTTTGGCTCGGGTCAGCCCTGAGCTGGGCGGTTCAGTTTGGGCAGCCCACTAGTGGGTTTGGTTGGGTCTTTTGCTTGCTATAAGTAGGGATTAAGGGGGGGATTTCTAGGGTTATGCAAGATTTGAGTTTTCTCTTAGCCTCCTTAGTTTCTTTCTCTTGTTTTTCTAGGGTTTGTAGTGGGAGACCTTGTCCTTCTCGAAGTGGACAAATTGTATCTTGTTTTCCCTTGGATTTTGAATGCAAAGGTTTTGGTTCTTCATCTCATCCATCTTGTGTTGATTTTTTCCTTGATTTGGAGGAGAAATCTTTTCTTTGAAGGAGCATTAGGGCAAACCCAAACTTGGGAACCCTAGGGCGTATCAAATTGCTACCTCCCTGCTTCTTGATTTGGGTCAATTGATTATGGGATATGCCTATAAAAGCTAAGGTCATAGGCATCAGCCTTCTTCCAACTCCAACTTTGTTCTAGTGCTTTTTTCCCTTTATATCTTCTACTCCAAACAGTAGTTTTTTTTTTCCTTTTACCATCTTCCAATCCAAGCTTTATCTCACCACGACCAGGGCTGCAGTCAGCTAGTCGTCTTATTAGTTCCCACAAAAATGGTTGAGTGTTTCATTCCCCAATTAGGACCAGCTCCATTTTTGAATAAAGACCTTCATTGATGATCATGCCCATGACAGATGAGAGCTATTCATCTTCAATTCTTTGGCTTCTTCTGTAATTCCACAACTTCCTCTTCGATCTATCTTCTCAAGATTTCCTCAGCTTCATCATCTTTTGCTCTGCTACCGCCCTTCCTATGCTTCCTATTGAAATTTATTTGCATGCATTTTTTATTTGATGCATATCCAAAGAAGAATGCTGAAGCGATATTATTAAGTTTCAAAATTAATAACTAAACTGCAGCTTGGCCTGCGATGATGATCCATAAGCATTCTTGAAGATGAGGATCAATGGATGGTAGCAGCTCTATCTCAAGAGCTGTTTTAGACGCTTTAACTATATATTGAAAGAACATCTAATGAGTTATGAAAGAACCTGACATAAGTTTTTTGTTGACTTGAAAAAATCATATGGTAGAAATTATCTAGTATAATCTAGAATTCTATTTATAAATAGGAGTGTAAGGCCGTCAATGAAATATATAGATTTCAAATGTTTTCTCATTTTTTCATGCTATTAGAGCTCAAAGGAAAAATAAGCTCTTACTCATTTTCTCTTGATATCAAGAAGTTGCCTTTTGCTGCCATCCTTCTAGGCTCTAGTTGTAGCAGCCTCAAAGTGAACCCCAACCAAATTCCACCTGCTGTCTTCACTACAACCATAACTCAATAAGATCCAACGTGTAAGCAGTTGCCTCCACCGTTTATTTCCATTGCAGCTAACTTTTTCCTAGGAATATTGTCATGTAATCACTACGTAATTAGTGATTTTCATGGATAGAAATTACCTAGTATAGTCTAGAATTATGCTATATAAACAGGAGTGTAAGGTCCTCAATGAAAATACCCACAAATTTAAATATTTCTTACAGTACTCTAGTATAAAAAGGTTCCTGAGCAATATCGCTTGTTGTCCAACAAATCTCCGCATTGCTTCCGTCCTTCCAATAGCTTGTAGTGTCCACTTGTTGTCTTCTTCTCAGCCAATTCCCAATAAGTAGTCCCATCACCCGAGCAGTAGCCTCCACCACAAGTAACATTTAACTACTGTTCCCACCTTATAAGGCCACAACACCCGTGGCTTTCACCAAACATCAAACACCAATATATGAATTTTTTCTTTAAAAATATGCTTTTTATATCTGAAGTTGTTGACATATCAAATGGATCTAATCAAACTTCAGTGGAGTACCAAAACCATCAGCCTTCATTCAAATTGAATGGGGAAAATTTTCTTTTTTGGGGTCCTAAATTGTGAAAGCTTTCCTCAAAGGAAAAGAAAAGTTGGGCAAACTTATTGGTCCCCATATAAAGCAAAGATTATCTCAGTTTTGTCATGATTTTACCATATGGTATGTAGAAGATTTCTCAGTTATGTCATGGCTATGGAATTCTATGTTACTAGAAGTCAGCGAAACCTACATTTTTCTAAGTATAGCCAAAGATATCTTTGGCGCGATGAAGCAAACATATTCCAAGGTGTGATGCCATCTTTATCTATGAAATCAAGAAAAATTTACACCATTAAGAAAATTTCAATTATTGAATATTATAACATAATGAAAAATCTATGGCTCAATTTCAATTTTCTACCAGCATTTCAAAATTAGATTTGAAGATGCAGTAATGCTTTGAACTTGTGTAGTAGAAAGAATTTAGGAATTCCTATATGTGGAATATGGCCAAGTATGTATCCAAATAGTTAAAAAAAGTCCCTTCCCAACTTAAATAAACTTTTATATACTATTAAGGAAGACAATATTATGTTAGAAACAGGATCCATACATAGGTGACAATATTGCCCTAATTGCTACTCCTGCATCAAACACACAAGTAGAATTGAGTCATACAAGATCAAATTGGACCCACCAAGGTATAGTAATTGAGAATGGAGAAAAGGATTAAATTGTTCCCTTGACTTTTTATGAAAGATCAAAATAGTCCCAAACTATATTAAAGAACCATTTTAGTCCCTTAACTCCTTGAAGAGGAATTAAAATAGTCCCACCATAAGACTATTTTGATTCATTTTTAAAAATTTTAGGGGCCAAAATGATTTTAATATAATTGGAGATTATTTTGGTCCTTTATAAAAAGTCAATGAACTATTTTGATCATTTTCTTATTGAGAATGTATATTGTATAATTGTTGCAAAAAGGTAACAACAACAACAATATCAAGCCTTTGTCCCACAATGTGGGGTCGGCTACATGAATCCTTTTTCTCCATTGTGTCTTCTAATATTTTCTAATCAAATATTTTTAGGTCTACCTCTACCTTTCTTAATATAAGTCAAATCTAATACTTCTACTTTCCTAATCGGGTCATCAAAAGGCCGTTGTTTTATGTGACCAAATCATCTAAGGCGACTCTCTAAATCCTATCTTCCACTAAAGCTGCTCCAACCTTTTCACGTATATGCTCATTTTGTATCTTGTCTCTAAGGGTAAACTCACTCATCCACATGAGCATCCTCATCTATGCAACACTTTACTTATTATTATGCTTATATTTTAATTGCTAACATTCTGCACCATAAAGCATTATAGGTCTGACCACCATCTTATAGAATTTTCCCTTAAGTTTGAGGGGAACTCTCTGTCACACAACAAGCCTAATGCATTCCTCTAATTCAACCATCCAACTTGAATTCTACTGATAATATCCCCATCGATTTCTCCACTTAACACTGCCGTTGTCAGGTCCCAAAGTCCTGTATGAGAAAAGTGGAGGGTTGCATTAGGTACTTGACAGCCAACGTAAAAATTGTCGAATAGTCATGACTTGAATCCTTTAATGCAAAAAGGCAAAACATGCAACAAAAAAATGTTAGAAACTCAAGGGATACCTCCATACAATAAAAATAAGCCAACACTACTTTTATGGAAGAAAAAACTAAAGTAGAGGTGAAAGGAGTAAAGAAAGAAAAAATAAAGAAACTCTACACCTTCTTGACAACATTAAATAAACAAATGTGTATTTGTTTTTGGCTCGATCAGATGAGTTCATGGATTTATTATCAATTAAAAAATTGACGTCCCACCTATCTTACTTATTGTCTATTTTAGGATTGAACTACAAAAAGATGGTTTGACATGTTGAGGAATGAAAAGGACTCAACTATGTAGGCACAAGTAATATTGATCACATGCTGCAATCTTTTTTTTGTTTTTTTTTTTGTTTTTTTCTGTTTTTTTTTTTTAACTTTGAATATGAGGGCTTAAATTTGGCTGTAGCATATTCAAATGGGTCATCCATTTTTTATTGTATTATGATTCATATTTTCTATATTGTGGGCTCCGAAAAATTCCAATTTTGGCGATAGAGGCGATTGTGTCGTTTGGGGCTTAAGTCGGTCGGGAGCGGTTTGTCCGATCTGGAGCCATTCGTGTGCAACGGTTACAGTCAACATATATTATTCAATAAAATAAAACTTGAAGAGTATGAGGGTGAGGTGCGTCAAATGGCCAAACAACATAGAGTACGCTATCCCATAAATCACTCAAAAACTTCAATGTCTTTTCCTTGATCCATATTGATGTATGAGGGCTATTTCGTGTCACTAATATTAATGGGTCTAAATAATTTGTTATTTTCATTGACAATTGCCTGCACACTACTAAGCTTTTTCTCGTGAAAAATAACTTACATGTGAGTGTAATACTGAATCCCTCATGTTTCATAAAATGTTCTTGATCCAGTTTAGCATTAATAATAAATGTATTATATATAATGATGAGAATGAGTATTTTAATCAAACCTTGTCATCTTTTTTTAATGAAAGGGCATTATAGATGAATCATCTTGTGCAGGCACTTCACAACAAAATGCGGTCGCAAAAAGAAGAAATTCTCATCTATTGAGGCCATTGGGGCTCTTCTCTTTAAGGGGAATGCTTTGAAATTTTATTAAAAGTTACCCTAATTTCCACATTCCTAATAAACTTCCTTCCCAAAAGATTAAACTTGATCTAAGAGCCCTACAATGCATTCTTAGGCCATGTTCTTTATTATCACATCTCTATAAATGAGGACCCATGATTTGAATTTTGATTATATTTTAGGCTGGTGTGTTCTCAAGATCCAAGTTGTGTACGATTTTTCGTTTCCTTTCCTCTCTCTCTCTCTCTTTATATATATATATATAATCTAGAACCATGAAATTTGATTGCAATACCTTCAACTTGAATAAATCATAATCAGGGAGCTCTTATGGGCTCTATTTCGGGTGATATGCATCTTGTTTTCTAGTGTAGAGGTATTAAATTTGAGACTAAAGTACTTTGGTTTGCCATAAACTTCTCCCTGTGTCGAGTTAATGAGTTTGGATTTGTGTCCTACTTATAAAATAAAATGCAAAAGTTATTTTATGCTCTAATTAAAATCAACAAATTTTTTTTTGGAATATATTTCTATTCTTAAAACAATCATAAATTCATAACATTACATTTTCTTGTAAACAAAACAACCAAACACCATAAATGATGATTAGCAACTGATCTTTCAGAATAAAATGGGCGGGTCATGAACGTTTGCTGCATCCCTATTTACCCATTTAGAGGGAGTTTTTTTTAAAATTTTATGTTTATGTTACTAATGTATGGTCCAAATGACATTTTAATAAGCATCAGTGGTCCATGTAGATTAGATACACATCGGATATTGATATGCCAGGGTAAAGAAAGTATTTTTCTTAGAATTTGACCATGTTGCCAGTTTCTTTTGTCATACCTGGTACGAGTCTGTCATGCTGTGCATTTTTAATATCCGTGCGTAGAAATTGGTTGTTATGATACTTTAAATGAAATCCATTGGATTCTTCCAAAATGTGCAACTCTAAACTTTTTCACCCTTAATAAAAAAATGTATAGTTTACGTATTGATTTTCATTCCTGTGCTGCTTCTTGAATTGTCAAGAATGTCTCTTTGAGTTTATGGCGGTTACATATTATATGAAAGTGCACATCTAAATTACTGTGATCCTTTTATCTAAATTTAAACCTTGTTTGACACAACAGGCATGTATATTTTTTCGTGAGAAACAAGTCCTCATTTTGCACCAAGCTAATCAATAAAGTCCATTTTATTTAACTCAACTAATATCCATGATATATGATATAATTTTTTATTTTATACTGTCAAAAGAGTGATGTATAATGAAGTAAAGACTTATATTAAATGCTGCTGGTTCTTATTTTTTGTTCATCATCATGAGCATTGTCACACTTGTAATTGGGATTGGCTTTATGAAGTCTCCTTAATTCATATCGATGATTGTTACATGAGATATTGATCTTAACAAGCAATTTCGCACAGTATTTTGGTTATGCTAAATTATGACCTTTTTCCTTCTAAATACATCCACACGTATTTATTCTGTTTTTTATTGCCAGATTAAATCTCTTATTGAGATGCTTGTGAGTAAATGTGGTGTAGATGCTGTTAAGGCAGTAATGCCTGAAGAACACCTGAAACTTCTAAAAAACATTCGCAAGGTAAGTAGCTTGATCATGTCGTTACATCACCTTTGTTTGATTTTTTTTTTAATTTGTCCAATCTGGCATGATGTCAGATTAAGGAGCGAAAAGAAAGGAAAACTAAATCTCAGGAAGATGTTAATTCGTTGTACTCAAGAACAAGTGTTTCCAGGTATTCCAAGCTGAATATAAATGCGTTCTGTACATGCAGTTAATGTTAAGTTGAGAAAACTACCGCTGTTAAAATTGTTGATATTGCCTAATGGACTTGTTGAGCTATTGTTTCTATCAAAAGCGGAATTTACATGTTTAGTTGCAGGTATTTTCAGCATTTTTTGTGTTGTGAACAGTAAAAAATAAAAATCATGACAAATAATCACTTAAAATTACTATAATTAATGAGATCAAGTTCTAAAATTGTATAAATATAATATCAATTCATGCTTTTCTCAAGCATGCTTTTAGCTGTAGACACAACTCTAAACCCTAAAAATTAATAGAAAGGAGATTATTTAAAAAACAAAAAAATTGAAGTGCAAGTATTCTATTGCAGTTCCATAGATCTTGGGGATTAGTGAGAGAACTTTTTGCCAGTGAGATACTAAAGTGGTGAATGACGGGATCACAACTACAGGAGGTAGATCATGAACCGTTTTTCTGTAGTATGAGTGAATGTGGCTTCGATGTGTTGCGGTGGAAGATTTCGGTTGAGTGGTAACTTGGCTGCCGATGATTTGGCGTGTTGGGCGATGGGTGCGTGGAGAATAGGGCAGTTTGAGCGGTGCATGAGGCTGGGCGACGGTGGAGCATCTGATTGCAAGTGATAGGCAGCATGACATATATAAGATACTGTGATTGTATTTGTGATTAATAAGGGGGCCCATGTAATCGGGTCATCAAAAATGGCGGATGAAAGATAACTGCTGTAGATTTTGTTTTTTTGGCGACGCAGTTTTAGCGAAGGAAATATTGAGCTGTCATCCAAATGAGCATAAGTGGGAGTGTGGAACATTATCTGCTAAGAGCACAACGTAGCTATAAATCAGAATTGAAACGAACCCTAAGTTTGTTCATACATGCTTCAATGATTTACAAAATTTAATGCTTGTTTCTGTAGCTAATATAAATTAAGTTCTTTGTAGATTATTTTACATGCTAATACAAAGTTTTTCACCGCTGTTAACTTGCTCATGCTCTAGTTTTGTACTTATTTGATCAAAACCACTTGTTAGGCACAGTAGATGGAATCATACCCGCATATTTTCTGATATTGGAGATGAGGATGGAGGTGAAGGAAGTGATATTGAAAATGGAGTAGCACGCAGGACCTCTTTTCATGCTTCCAGAGCTTCATTAAGGTGTGCATTTGCTCTGCCTTTTTTCTTTCATAGAAGTTTTTTAGCTGAGGGATGACAAATCTTGAGCCACTAATCACTTAATTGTGCTTTCTAGACAAATTTTCGGTTATGTTCTTCTTTCTTTCTCACCATAATTGCTTTTTTTTTTAGGTCCAGCCGAATGCGTAAGTTATTTAAGAAGAGCTTGCCAGAAGACTTACTAGATCAGTCAGATGATGATCCACTCGACTTATTGGATCGCAGGACGACCAGATCGGTCCTTCTGTCGACATCAAAGCCCAATAGGAAAGTGGAAGATTGCGACGACAAGCCAGAAATGGATAATGATGGCCGTCTCATTGTGCGCGATGATTGTGTCAAACCCAAGCCACAGAAAAATTCTTCAGATCCTGTTTCTGATACAAGAAGCTTAACTAGTAGCCGCAAATCAGGAAAATCTTTATTGAGCTCACAGAGGAAGCGCCAGAAGACGGAGTCTGGTTGGTCTTATACAGGAGTTGAATACACCAGCAAAAAAGCTGGTGGTGATTTGAAGAAGAAAGGCAAGCTGGAGCCCTATGCTTATTGGCCTCTCGATCGCAAACTTCTCAACCGAAGAGTGGATCGAAAAGCTGTGGCTCGCAAGGGCATGGCCAGTGTCATGGTGAGAAAAGATCTTAAAAAGCTTGAAGGAAAGAGTGCTTCCAGGGCTCTGGCAGGAACTCCTAAGAGGAAAAGGGGCTAAAAGTAAGTTATGATGATTTGGTATATTTTGACAATCAAAGCAGTTAGAGTGATGCTGTTTTATATCAGTTATAGGATGTTGATTTTGAGCTTTAAAAGGGAGGAACAGCTTATTAAGTTAATGAGCACAAAAAGGAAAACTTCCAAAGCTAGAAAAAAATATCAATTGTTTACTCCATATGTCGGATAAGCTTATTTTTTTGGCAAACTGTAGCTATGTTGATTCTTGTGAAAGGAGTATTCATCAGTTTTGCTGTTTGTTTTCGTTCCTCAGCCTAAGAAAAGTATTAAATAGCAAATTCCTCCGACTTGCATATTTTAAGCACTGTTTTTATAATTTGGATGTTATTAATTATTTTTACATGTAAAAGGACTTACCTGAGCTAAACTCGAGTTATATTGATGATCACAAATAATAGAAATTTGGGATAATTTTTTTATTGCTTCATAAAGCAACTTTCTAGTTAAAAAATTAATTTTTGTATGAGAAAGTTGTTTTAAGCAGTAAAACAGCCATCCCAAATAAAGCCTAAATGTAAACTTATGCTTCATTTGAGATAATTTTCTTATTGTTTTTTAAATCAAAATTTTATACTAAAAAATTGCTTTAAGAAGCAGTAAAAAAACGGTTCTAAATAAAATCTTAATTTGCCTAATCTATTCCTTGAAAATAGACGTAGTAGAAGAGCATCTTTCATACATGAAGCCATTTTAAGATCTTTTGGGGAAAAAAAGATTTTTGATAGTATGGAAATGATGAGGGAAAACAAGAACAATTGAAAGCTGCTGTAAAGTTTATACTCTGCATAAACGAGGAAATAATGCAGAAAATATTGGCTATAACCAAAATCATATTTAACAAGTTGGACATACAAACAAGATATGAACAAATCAAACAATATATTGGCATGATCTAATTGAGCTATTTTGAGTTCCATACATGATCTAATCAATCAAATCACATCATAATCGGTATTTAACAAAATCAAATAAATATAATGTCGAGAAAATTTATAAAAAAAAAAATAAACAAAAAACTCTGCTCACATTGTATGTTTTCACATATACACACATCCATTGTGTTATGGTAGCAAAACATCCAAATTTATATAAATACATAACAAATCAATCCATAAAAAAATATTTGAAAACCCACAAAACATAACCTCCCAGATTCAAAATATAACGCAAAATCTACAGGTCTGGAATGCCAATCGCAAATATACATATAACATATGCTGCACACAAGCTCTATAAACAACAATATTAAGCTATAGATGGGCACCATCATTTTGCTGGTTTGGATTGAGACATGGCGCGCAAACGATTAGCAATTTGTGTGAAGGATGGGCGCTGCTGTGGATCTGGAGCCCAACATAGTTCCATTAATCTTCTCCATTCAGGATCACAGGAAACTGGAATGAGTGGCCTCAGCGTATTATTCACAATACCTCCTGTATTTAACAACGGATCAAAGGTCGTTATTGCTGAATTACAATGAAAAAAGTAGAATTTTTTTTTAAAAATAAAGTTGTTCTTATAAAATTTTCCCCTAAAAACAATCTGACTAGCTTTCTCAGACTACTATATTCTAATATATTTGATAGTGAAAAATCTCCTCAATAGAAATTTTTGAAAAGCTACAATAAAGTTATAATCAAACATGAATATAGCACAAGTTTGTAAGGTAGAAATTTGGAAAAACTTATCCAAAAGCACCCTTAAATCTATCTCAAAAACTGCAGCTATGCAAAAGGGAAAAAAAAACTAGAACTAGAACAGGCAACAATTGGCATACCTATAATGGCACCATAATGCATATTAGCATAAGGCTCATCACCAGTGAGAATCTCCCACAGGACAATGCCAAAAGAAAAAACATCAACCTGCAGCAATTTGTTCAATCAATAACTACCATTAGTACTACAAAACATACACAAATCACCACAAAAAATAAGAGTAGAACAGACATGGATTCAGCTATGTTATATTACTCGATTATTATTTTTTGATGTTATAAACAAAATAACAAAATGGAAGTATAACCTTTTCAGAAACTTTGTTGCTACTGCCATTTAATAGTTCTGGAGCCATCCATGGCAATGTTCCTCTCACACCACCAGAAACAAGTGTATTCCGTTTTATTTTGGACAAGCCAAAGTCTCCAACCTTATAAGTTATTTTCAGTTAATGGATGGACAAATATTGAAAAGCATGAAAAGTCAATATGCAACCTTTGGTATGAGAAAATTCTAAGTTACCTTGCAAATGGGGCGTGATTGATCTTTCAGGTTCACAAGCAAGTTATCACATTTTAAATCAAAATGCACAATATTCTTTGAATGTAAATATTCCATTCCAAAAGCAGCATCCATTGCAATTATAAGCCTCTTCCGGCGGTCCAGATACCTATCATTTTCATGAAGTTTACTTGGACGCAAGCACTCAAGAAAATAAAAAAGAATAAGAAGTTGAAATGAAAGAATGAATTTTGTATTTACCTGTCTTTACGAAGCAAAACATGTCTAAGAGATCCATTAACCATGAACTCTGTTACTGTCGCCAATGTACCTCCTGGACCATCTTGCACAACCCCATAAAAAGCCACCACATTTGGATGGTGAAGCTTTGAGAGGATCTCCGCTTCCCTCCAGAATTCTTGTGTCTGTCAGTCAGATAAAAATAGGACTAAATATTATCTTCCAGACTGGTAAATCTAGAATGACTGGGGAAATTTCTTGAGGTCAAAATATCAATGATGGTAAGCATCTAGAAAGTTTTGAAAAATGTAATACCAGTCTCTCTTGCTCAGATGAGCGCCCAGTGAAGCAGCTCTTCTTTATCCGCTTAATAGCAACATCAGTTCCCCTCCACTTTCCATGGTACACAGTTCCAAATGTCCCAGAACCCAGTTCTCGCAGCTCTTCAAGGTCCTCGTTCTTTATAATCTGTTAAGATGGATAGAGTGCCATGTACATATGATATACCAACAAAACTGAGAAAAATACAAAAAAAAAAAAGTTTTATCAGCCCAATAAGTAAATGAAACGAGCATCATTTAGCTGCTTTCTCCATGTTCTTTGGCCATATAAAAGATATAAATATATCTGTATCATGAATTCAATTCAAATCTTCACATATCGCAAATGAATCTTGAATTTCATGCCTGTATTATCATACCTTAAAATTCTACATGCATCACTTCAATTCAATGACAAGTAACCAACTCTACTAATTTTTTTGCGGAAGTAAAGGCATAATCAAAATATCTCAAAGAGCCCTACATGAACACTAGCAAACAAGCAATTTTGACCGGAAGACTTGCAAACAAAACATTTTAAAGGAAGTTTCAAGATAACCAGTTGAGCAAAGTACCTTAATTATTACGTTTTATTGACAATAACAAATGGATAAGAAGAAATGAGTTATAATTGCTAATGGTACCTCAAACTTCAGAATCAAAGCCAAGTTTAATTTATTTTGGCAAGTATTTAAATAGCAGTATCTCCAAATTGTTTTATTGAGTAAATATGACGTATCAAAATAATACTTAGACAGCTGAACGTTTTCAAAAAAAAAAAAAAGAAAAGAAAAAAGGAAAAGGTAATCAGTTATCTAAACGAACAGCAATGATACAATAGGAACCATTATTTTCCTTTTCAAAGGTTAACTATACACCTGAGATAAGTTTATAGCTAGGGCTGCGAATTTTACTCGAACAGCACTCTACAAATGGATCAATTACTGGTTCAAATTATATATATAGCTTTTAGGTGATTAAGTGGTTAAACATTTTTAAATCTAAAATTACCTCGCCTTGAATATGATTCATTTCCCTCTTCACTTTTTAACCGATGGTTCACTAAATGGGTTAGGCAAGTTTGGGTTTTAGTTGAGAGGGAGGAGCTTATGGGGATTGATTACTGTGGGGCTAAGATGGGGCAAAGGCTTGGCTACCATGAATTTAGAACGTTGAGAAGTTGTAAAAATAAGGATTTAGGGTTGTTAAGGGGTTTTGAAGTGCATGTATGTTGTCGAAAGGAAATAAGATAGACTTTCTGTTTTAAGTGAGTTTACAAAGAAATAAATATTTTTTACATGGGTCAAGGTATTGAGAGGGGGAACTCTAAAACACAAGAAGGGATTTCAATATAAAGAAAAAAAAAGTAAAGATAAGTGGAAAAATAATAATATATAAGTTGATGCAACACAAGTAAAGAAGCCTCTCACTAAATCAATTACATAGGTCCAATTTCATGATAATTAATTATTTTTAAACTTTTTTGTAGGGAAATTTGAAGGGAAGGACATGAATTTGGGGTAATTTTTTCACTGTTCACCGATATTTTTGGAAGCTCATCAATCAATAAAAATTGATGTTTCCCAATGACAAGAAAAATATTTTAAAGAATTATTCAAATTTAGAGAGGCTTATTTAATTTGTTAAATAGGAGCGAATGAGAGAGAACCATATGTCTTGGAGGGATATGGAGTATTTTCTAGTGTGTTTTACTTCTTTTCTACAATACAAATTTATTATTTATGCCCCCAATTATTTCAATGAAAATTAGGTTTGATCTATTGTCAAAACTATGAGAAGTTGGTGCTACTTGCTTTCAAATTGATTTGTGAATCAATCAAGTGAAGGCTTGAACACTAAGATGTTTGCCAACCTATCTAAAATTGTTCCCTAACATCCCAATCATCTTCCAAAAGCACTATACCACTTCAAACCTTACAACAATGTAGTCAATCCCCTTCCACAAACCCTAACTCCTAACATCCACGTGTTGTGACCAATCCATATAAAAAAAAGTATAGCTTCATATCTAAATATCCAATTGATCTAAAATCACCTGAATTTACTTAAACTTCCTCAATCCAGTTAAAAGGACACATAGGCAAGATCAACCTCTCCACATATTGTGACTGATGTTCTAAAAATCCTCATCATTTTTCATAAAAAAACATGGTCATCAATTGCAAGAAAATCTCAAATAAAATCTGTCAATAATCCTAAATTAGTCATAGCCTTCCACCATGCTAACAGCCCAAGAAAGCAATTAATAATTAGGAAATATGACATATTTGGGAGGGTATTAGGAGAAGACCGTTTGGGTATTTATCGTTTATTATATGCTTTAACTAGGGGCATTTTCCTATGATTAGGGTTATATCTTGTTTGCTAAATTTAGTTTATTCTTAGGTTATTTGGCTCTAGCCGGTGGCTAGGGATTTGGGAGAGCTGGATCTTCATCTCCAATTGAAGATCCAATTGTATCTTGCATTTTCTTTTATAATTCTTATAAATAAAAATTATATTTTGGTTGTTCTTCCCAATTTTTTGTATTTCATCCGTTGATTTGATAAAAAGAGCATTCACTTCCTATAAAAAAATTCATATCAAAACAATGAATTTGAATGAATTGATTAAGTAAGAAACCATAGGTTGGTCGTTAGATGCATGATAGGAATCATATAGCTTAAGCTGATAAGTAATGGTTTGTATATGTTATTAGAATATATATATATATATATATATATATAATTGCTCCAATGTGAAAGTATTGGGGTTTTGTTTACAAGTAATCTTAGGATCAGGAAATAACAACTGGGCATAACTCAAGCAAGAACTTAACTATGCAAAATATACTTTGAGCTATTCTATGAAGCACTATACCTGCCTAGTAGCTCAATTAATGAGTGATGTACATAACATGAATGTCTATTAGAAGAATAGATGAGAGAAGCAAACATTTGTAGACATTTTATTGAATAAAGCCATATCTTTTCAGAGATGCAGTGGAGAAGTGCCATTAATTATGTTTCTATTTGAAGGAGAAACGGGGTGCTAGTGGCTTAGCCAATAGCAAGAGAATTTTTTTAAAAATTAAATTCTATGATCATATTGACAAAGTTCACTGATGTGTTAAGAGAGTAATTTGTTTTCCCCATTGGCTGGGCAACTAATGCAAGAGTTCTTTTTGAGGTTAGTGCAAGGAGAAAAAAATGATGCAAATTGAGGCTGGATTCTCAACTTTAGTAAGGTAGCTTTATAGATACTTAGCACTTTAGAGAAGAAGAGTCATAGATTTTTTAGAGAACTCAAGGAAAATTGATGGAATCAATTTGTTCCGTTAAAAATCAAGAATTTATAGAGTTGATGGAGATAATGATCTAGAAGCTATGCTGCATCGACACTCCTCCATAATAAGGTATGTAGTGTCGGACACGGACACGCCTGACATGACTAGAATATGTGTCAAAAAGTGCACAAGTGTGTCCAAATAAAATAATATTTTAAAAAAATCAAGCACACTTATCCTAATATTTCTTAATAATTTTTTTAAATATACTTTTCTAAATATTGAGTTAAAATTTTATTACCTAATAAAACATAAAATAATCGAATCAACCAGCCCTATTCCTATCTCGACCCTTGTTCGATCCCTGTTCAATTGCAATTGCACAGGCACAGCTTGAGTTCTTAATGATTTGAGTGAATGATCTGCAATCGGCGATGAGGAAGATTCCAAACAGCAACAAGTTCCTGCTCCATTCATGATCCTAATGTCAAATTGCTCCAACAACAGTAGATCGACGACTAGAAAGAGGTGCTTCAGCAACAATCTGTGCCGCAGGCCCACAAGTCCTTCACTTCATTAGAAATCTTAGTAGCAGTTAGGTAAGGTAATAGGCATTTTATGTTTTTTAAAGTTAATATGCCAAATGGTTGCTTTCACAGTTTAATTTCTTCTCAAAGAATGAAAACTGAAAAGTTTCTATGCCAAAATTTTCTTACATCTTTAAGTCTTTAACTACATCTTCACATGTTGAAACCAATGTTGAAGGCAATAGAAATTTTCTTCAAAGGACGTTTTCATTAACAGCTTTAAGATTAATTCAGCAAACAATTTTTTGGATGGCTGGTAAACAAGCACAAAAAATATTGACAATTTTTTTCCTAAAAGCCTTGCACATTTTGAACACTGGATCTATATTAGCATAGAAAGTAATGCAATCACCGGAAGAAAAATCTCCCATTTACTGCAATTGTGAATTCAATGATTTCCTTGCCAAGTAACACTGATACTAAGAATGAAAGATGCATATTAAAACTTTTATGTAATGCTGTGTCCGCATCGTATCCATATCCTGATATCCTACATTTTCAATAATTAATGTGTCTCATACTTGTGTGGTGTCCCTGTTGGTACAACCTGGTCTAGAAGTGATTTCAGTGGAAATAAGAGTATATTTAGACTTGGAGAGTTTGAAAGGGGCCCAACTGCATCTACTAGAAGTAAACCAATATATAATACATGTGAGAAATGTGGGCTCCGAAAAATTCCATTTTGGGTGTGTGTTCCCGGGGGAATTTTCAGAAGGCAGATTGGGTTTTAGATAAGACACTACCCAGAGATTTCGCCCTCATTTTGTGAGGACTTTTTGATCTGAGTTCTGGTTTCCTATAGGCGCAAGCCCCTATAGTTAATTACCCCTCCTGATAACAAGAGAGAACTTTCGATTAAGGCTAGTCGTTAAAAGGGTCGAATAGGTTATAAACCTATCGTATAATAGCAATAATTTAGGGTTTAAATTTTGAATTTTGAATGATTTGAAATCTAGAGTTTATCACCACAAACTTAAAACTGATGGTGGGGAGAATGAAGACGAGCCCGATCAAGATCCCATGGTTCCGTCGTCCCGGGCTGTCATGATCCCTGGTCTACTTAACCAGAGGAGGTAGTCGACCCAACCTGACAAAAGGCACCTTATCGGCAGCCATGGGTTGCTTCGTCCAAGAATACCTTGTAGACCTGGGTTGATGTTTGTCTAAGGGGATATATCTGAATCCACCTTAGCTGACAGAGGGCTTTATGCCTATCGAATATACCCTATGATTTATCACTCAAGGGTTTGACGCCTTTAGGGAACATACGGGCTT